AACTGTCGCATCACACACGAAACATTTCTGTTGAATATTCTTGAGAGAAATACCAAAAATATAAATATTGATCGTACTCAAAATCAATTTATTCGAATAATTTCTACACAAATGTTTGTGATAATTTTTTAAAAATACTTTATCATGAATTATTTCTTTTATGTAATTTATAGTTACTTAATGTAATAAGAAATATATTGAACAATAGACAATTGATTATTTTACTTATTTAACGTGAAATCGTTTTATCCTTCAAGTAAAACATTGTTTGTATTAAAAAACATCACAATTAATGCTTTCCTGAAAATTTTATATAAATATTCACAACGACAACAAATATTTCGAAAAACATTTTATTCACGAATGTTACGAGAACAGGCGATCAAATAATTTTTCAATTATGTTTCGTATAAATAGACAGGTACGTTTATCGAATTATTCTATATTTTAATAGAAAGGTAAGTAGTATTGTAGACTTATTTTTAGCTTCAATATTCATGATAATTTAGTTTTAAAATTTATTTCAAATTGATTTGGTCAATTACAATATAATATTTTGATTAAAAATAAATTTTGGAAGTTAAACAAAATTACTATTTTTAAGACTCAATAATGATTTTAGTTGAATAAACTTCTTTCCATTCATTGCGATTATCCAATAGAATATAATAATTTTTTTTTTCTAAATTTGTACAAGCTTCATATTTCTTTTTCTTATCAAAGAAATATAAAACTAAGCACGGTTTGTATCATTTATATTATAGATATAGATGAATGAATAATAAATATATCTCAAACAAAAAAAATAACATGACCCATTCTCATTAATTCTATTGAATTAAGGCATGCAATATCACAAGAAAAGCGAAAATTTTCAGTATAAGGGATGGAGCAAATGAATATCTTTTCATTTATGAATGATTTTCAATAGAGATTGTTTCCTATGTGTAAGGCATCACCTTTTTATTATAACGTTTAGTAATAATTAGACGATGAACTGTTCTTTGTAGTTATTTTTTTTTAGGAAAAAAATTCGATCGATTTGGAAAACTTTTCTATTATTTATGTCTTTAATTTCTAAGCTGTGCATTATTGGTGTAATCGAACTGTAGATTGACGTCTATATATAATATTCAAAGTTATTTTTGATGCTCTCAAGAGATCTTGCAGAGATATAAAAAGCAAAATAAACGTTAAGCTAAAATTAGATTTTTGCGTGAGACATTACAAAAACACAACTCAATTTCAAATAATGCAGCATACATGTTCATCATCATGATTATTTCATGACTTTTGATTAAAAATCTAGTTCATTGTATTCACATAATTGTAATGTTCTTTGTATCAATGAAAATTAAAGACATCGATTTATGTGTCTGTTTCTTTTTTTTTTGTATTTGACAGTTATAGAAGTCTTGGAAGTTTGTTTTTTTTTAGTGTTAAACCTCCGGGCGGTATCTACTAGTGCAAGTTTATGTTCCATCTAACTGCAAATTCTGATTATGAAATCACTAGTGTATAGAAATAACGATATAGAAAAGCCTTCAGGGCTTTTACCATCATACGGTTAAAGAACGAGAAGCGTCATTTTCAATTTTGGTTATGGTAGATCTATTATCAACAAATTATATGATTTATCAAGTTAAGTAATTCGAAAGAAATAAGATGTCTGGTTTTGCACATAAACCCATTATGTCATACTGAGCGAAATGAGCCTTAATAAAATTGAAAAAGATGATAGATTAATGATACTCTTACTACAGCTGATTTCTAGCCTACCTTTTGAATCTAATAATATTGTATAATATATTTTTTTAAGCACAAATAATTTTCTTGTTAAAGTAATATGTACTGACGTTCATAGTTCTTTCATTAAGTTTTTTCTAATTACTTTTTTGAATCAACATTCCTAAAAAAACTCAGAACAATTGATTTGTATTTCTTCTTATCATCTAGTACGTTTATTTTTAAAAACAAAATATATTATAAGATTCAGTGTGAATACGAAGTACATTAAAAACCTTATTCTTTATATGCATGCTTTATTTTCAACATGGGCATTATTCCGTGTGACCAATTTTCGACGCTTCGAATAAGATTATCGATTAGTACACAACAAATTCCTGTTCTTTTTTCATCCCATAGGTAGATGGAATCACCATCAAGTAGACGTTGTCCTTCAGCTTGTGCATGTGGAAGAACAACACCAATATAATTCTTATGTAATAATATTTTACCAGGTTGAAATATCATTGGAGATATAAGGCCATTTTTAGAAACTTCGAACCATACCCTGATTCTTTTTGGATACTTAGCCTTTTGGTTTATGTCTGTTTGTTCGTCTGCCTCTTGTCGACTTAAAATGTAAACATGTTCTAATGAAAAACATTTCTCGTCAGTGAATAGAATTGTCTTTCATTGATGAGATAAAAAAAAAAAGTGCAGATTGATCGTTTACTTAAAAAAAATGATTATGTTTGTAGTGTCGACGATTGGTCACGCAGAATTTTGTTCATTTTGAAAATAAAGCGTACGTATATTCAATAAACTATTCTTTTTTTTTTTAATTCTAGAGCTTTTCACGCTGCATTTTATGGTATATTTTGTTGCTAAAATAAACGTACTACGTGATAAAAGAAAAGAAATAGAAAAACTGGCCATTGATTTTGGATCATTCGTTAGTTTACTGGCTGTTTTGAATGCTTTACAATTTTCATGTAAGAATTATGTTATAGCATTGTTCCCCAAATTGAAGAATCGTGTAATACGGTTATAAATGAATTTATAGTTTAATTAAATGTGTTTGTACAAGTTTTTGCTTAAATTAAATAATGAACAGATTATCACAACATTTTGCTTGAGTTGAGAGAAGTTCTATAATATTTATTATATATGAATGTTTTACTTCATTTAATGTATTATGCGATTTCTCTTAATTTGAGCTTGTCACATTTGTTCCCTGAGGCTTAATACCTTTTTTTATTCACATCCTTGTGTCATGTTCTAGACATTGAACTTGCATGATAGCTTCTTGGCAACGAACGAAACGATAATTGACAAACTTAGAATAGTTAATGTAAATGAAAAGTTTTACTCATGTATAACAAAAAGACTTTTATATAAACAATGTAGTCAGCAGTTCATAAAAATAATCAGATAATACAAAACGATGATAGCATGACAATATTAATTCTATAATCAATGGTAGCTTTCATTATACCTAGTGTTGAGAGATGACCTTATCATTAATCAACATTCATTTAAAAAGCCAAATACAATTAGAGCAGTATTATATTAAGTTAATGTTTTAGTCATAAGAAATCTTGCTTTGTCTTGTATTCAAATCAACATAAACGATGAAAACAACTTTTAAAATTAATTAGTATTTTAAAAAATTTCATAGTGAATTGAATTTAGTTAAGCTCAGCATTAGTATCATCAATACTTATTACATTCTCAAAATATATGCTGATAGTAAGAAGAACTTCTAAATTATTTTGTATCATGATGTCTGATAAGAAGTGACAAATTAAGGAGAAAGCGAAATGTTATAAGTTCCTTAATATGATCTCGTTCTGTCTTTTCAACAAAGCTTAATGGATAGATTAACTGCTGTCGGAAAAGAAACATTGAAAATAAAAAGTACAGAGAAAAACGAAATAAAAATCTAATCAATGCTAGGAACTTTGAAATATACCCGAATATATTTTGAATTATTCTTTTCAATGTTATTAATATGAATGTTTGCATGCGAAGAAAATCATGAATTTCTAAAAGAAATGGTGTTTATTTTACACTAGGTTATATGAGCATAAAATTTCATTAAATATATATGTATAAATAAAATGCATATTATTTAAATGTTATCTGAGAAAATGAAAAAATAGTATTTTATACTCCAATCATTTACAAGGTTATAGATAACGATTTACATCTACAAATATAACAACTATACTAGTGCTTATTAATGATATATATACATATTTAAGAACAGAATTTTTTCTATTCTTATTCTTCTTTGAATGTTGTTATTACAGTTTATGATCGTTATACTGCTTTTTATACAATGTCAAATGATAAATATATATATCAACGCGTATTCTCTTGACACGTCAATCGACAAGAAACCTATTTAACATTATATTTAAATCGACTTCAAGTGACATCTATTCTTTATTAAAACTATTACTCATTCATATTATTCAAAATAAATATCCTTGAAAAGTAATCAATTAAGAAGATGGAAAACTGATAAATTGAATGAAAATAAAGAGGTTATGTATATTTATGTAAAATGTCCAATTTTGTTCTGTTCTTTTTCTTTTTTTTTTTAACTTCTTTCATTCAGTTTTTTCACCATTTTTTTTTCTCTCTATGAGTTATGTATTTATTTTTTCTGTCGCAGTTAAAAATCGTCTTCTTTTACTCTTTTTTTTCTATCGATTGATCGCTTGTCTTCGATATGATCTCGTTACTACAGTGATTAGTGACAATAGTAAAAGATCTTAAGTAAAGAAAGCTAGACAAGTATTTGTTCACTTTACACATAGTTTACATACTAATTAATGCGATTAACATCCCATATAGAACTATGTAAAAGCTATGTGTCTAAAGTGATCAAGTACGAAGTCGATAAAGGATAGAATAACTATAACTAACACTTATTTTTTTTGTCTATTTTTTATTTCTTTCTGTTAATAGAAAAGTTTTGTTGAAGAATATTTTTTATCTAATATATATATTGACTTTGTTAGCATCCATTTAGACATTTCCCTAAAGATCTAATGTATGCATCACTTTTTTCTTTTTTTTTTTTTTTTTTGTGATATTTGACGATTGCCTCAAGGTTAAAAAGAAAATAAAACAGAACAATTTCTTTTTTTCTTTTCATTCTCTAACCATTATAATATTGCACGAAGGATTAATTTTTTTTCGTTCTTGTCATACGAGAAGCTTTTTTCTCTGCTAGATGTAAATTCACCATTTTTTAGCTCGACAAGATGCCTGTTCGAAAACAAGGTAAATTATCAATAAAGAAAAATCTGCAAAAAAAGAATCATTTATTTATTACTAGATGCTTATCGAGCATTAGATTTGCTTGAAGAGTATTATAATCGTCTGGATTCACCTGAAGATAAACCATTAAAAAATGCCATTGACAGGTAAATAATTTGCTTCCGGGTCATTCTGAATAAATCTTTAATTTTTAATAAAGAATAAAATTTGTTTTCTTTACTAATGAATTGCAAATAAAAAATGAAAGAAAGAAATTAACACGAATTTTTTATTTGTTCTTTGTATTTCTTTAGAGTTATCAAAGTTTTTAAAAGTCGTCTTTTCCAAGCACTTATGGGTAGATATATTTATATGTCTATTTATTATGTTAAGAACATTAATATTTGTGTTTTTTTTTTGTTTTCTTTTGATTAAATTAGATATTCAAGAATTTTATGAAACTATTTTACTTGATGAACAAAGTGATCGTACAGCTAAAATGAGAGCAACACTTCAATTAGTTGATGAATTGGAAAAACAACCGATGCTTAGACAAGATATACGTGTAAAGACTTTATTCTTTTTTTTTTTCTTGCCTTTATATTTAATTTATTAATATAATTTTTTATAGAATGGTCCAGCAACAACAACAATAAAGGAACCATCACCGATAGTATCAACAATTGTAACTGATAATCCATTAATACGTCCATCGAATATTAAAGAAGATATTAAAAGACAACCAACACCAACACCATTTTCTCAAATAACTAATATACCAGATTCAACTAATCGTCAAAATACAACAGATTTAAATTTACCTACTAATATACCAGAACTTAATTATAATGATCATTGGACAGAACTTAAAATTGATCTTGAACGAGTAAATATTAAGAAAAAGAAAATTTTTCTTCTATATACTAAAATTTTTATTTACATTAGGTACCTGGCAAAGGTCTAGGGTTTTCAATTGCTGGCGGTACAGATACCCCATGTATTACTGATTCCTCAGCTGTTGTTATTACACGTATAACTGAAAGTGGTCTTGCTGATATTGATCATCGATTGAAGTAAGATTAGACGATTTTTTTCTGCATATTTTTATTCTTGATTTTATTATTAGACTTCATGATATAATTTTACGTGTTAATAATATCGATTTTACTAATATTCAACATCAAGCAGCAGTTGATACACTTAAATCTGCTGAAAGTCCAGTTATTTTAGTAGGTTTTTCTATACAAAAGAAAAACTATTTCTAAATGAATTTATATCTATTTGTTTAGATAGTTCGTCGTTTAGCTCCACCAATTATGGAAGAAATCGTATTAGAAAAACCATCAAATGTTCATTTAGGTTTTTCAATTGCTGGTGGAATTAGTCACGAACATGTTAAAGGGTATGTTTTATTTAAAATAATAAAAGAAAAAAAAACTAATTTTTTATTGAAAATATTTTAGTGATTATGGTATATTTATAACAAATATAATTCCAGGTGGTATTGCTGATAAAAATGGAAAATTAAAAGTTGGTGATCGTTTAATGAGTGTACAATCAATGGTATAAAATAATTTTATTTTTTTCTTGTTTTTTTTTTGGTCTTGAATGAAATTCTTTTCTATATAGAAAAATACTTATGATCTTGAATTTGTTGAGCATAAACATGCTGTTGAATCTATTCGACGTGCATGTGATGAAAGTCAAAACATAACTTTAATTGTTGGTCATCCAACTGTTTATGCATTAAATACACAACTTCAATCAACTAATACTTCTATTCAAAATCAATTAAAATCAAAAAATGAAACTAATGGACATCGATTAACGAGTAATGATGAACATGAAGACCTTCCTCTGTAAGTTAAGAATACGTTAATCATTTTTCATAATATATTGAAATTAAAATTTATTTTGTTTTGTTTATGCAAAGGAAAAAAATGAGTCAATAATTGTTTGGTCTTTCTTATTATTCCGCTAGAAGGATTTTATTTGATTATTACTATGCCAGTATGGATTCATTTTTGTATAAAATTATCTTTTTTTTCGGAAGAAAAATTTTATATTAATTTAATGTAAGATACTTGTCACTCTATCAGTGATATTAGATTTTGAAGATACTAATCCTAATAAATACCTAGATTCAGTATAATGAATTGAGAAAGTGTGCGAATATGTTGTTAATAACTTTTATGCAATTCCTATCGAACAAGACTTCATATAATTTAATTGTATTATACTTATTTAGTGACCGTCGAGTATTACTTCGACGCGGTCCAACTGGTTTTGGCTTCAATATTATTAGTTCTGAAGGTGTACCAGGTACTTTATTAATTTTTTAGTTTTTTTTTATTTCTTTGAATATGTAAATTATATTTTGTTTTTTAAAGGTACATTTATATCGTTTATTCAATCTGGTGGTGTAGCAGATAAATCAGGACAATTACGTAAGGGTGATCAAATATTATCTGTAAACAATAAGGATGTACAAGGAGCATCTCACGAGGAGGTTGGAAAATTACTTACCAATTGTGGTGATACAGTGAATCTACATGTTACTCATAAATATAATGGTTAATTTATTTCTTTTTACTTCTCAAATTTAGTCATTTGTATCTTTTTGATTCTTGTAGATTTTCTTCAATGTCAAACTCGTAATGAAGAACGTCGTAATAGAGTAACAAGCGAAGCAGGTGGAAGCACAGGTAATTTAAAGATTTCAACACGAAAACAATTTTTTGTTCGGTAAGATTTGATAATTTTATATTTGAAAGAAAAGAAAAATATTTCTTTTATTCGTCAGAGCGGAATTTGATTATGACCCAACAAGAGATCCAAATTTACCAGGAGGTCCTGGTATACCATTTCGTACAGGTGATATTCTTCATGTAATAAATGCTGCTGATGATTCATGGTGGCAAGCAAAACGTTTTATTGATGGTAGAGAAGAAATCGGAATAATTCCATCAAAATCAAGAGTAGAAAAAAAAGAACGAGCTAGACAAAAACGTGTAAATTTCAATCCGAGTAGTAATCGAGTAGGTTTAATAAACAAAAATAATTTTTATTAATTTATTTAATTTTATTAAGAGTAATACACCAGATCATGAAAAAAAGAAAAAGAAGAAAATTGGCTTATTTAGTAAAACTGGTGATAAAAAAGATGTACAATCAGGTGACGATACTGAAAATGAATCAGAGAATTTAGAACCTGCCCCATCATATCAATTGCTTACTCAACATAAAAGTAATTAATTTTTATTATTTAATATTCCTATCATGATACAAATCGAAGAGCTAGAGGAATATATATAAGATTAAGTTCACACTTATGTCTAAATCAATCATAGAAATATGCCATTTTCACAAAAGATATTCGATATCTATTTTCTCGTAGAATCAAAGTCTTTGATCCGAAACCTAGCTCGAAGTTGGAAACGTTTTACTTTTGCAGCTCTAGTTCCTGTTCGGGTATTGAAAAAAAAAAAAATTACTCATTTCAAGTTCGTCAGTGTTTTCTGTTTGGTTCTGCTTTCGACTCTGAAAAATTCTTTTGGTATCAAAAATGTATGGTTACTGAAAAAAAAGAATAAGTTTGAAGTCTAAAAACTTCAACTAATTGCTGAAAGATATTAATACATTGAAACGATTCATTCATGATAAGAATAGTAAATGAACTATATCAATATCGTCCGATACCACAACATCTTCTAAAAAATCAACTTGCACAATCCCAAAACAAAAACAGCATGATGTCTAAGATCATGTCCGTTACTCAGATAATCTAGAACAATTTTTAAAATGAATATATTTAGTTTTTTCTTTGTCCGACTTGATCATGTGGATATCACTCTGATACAAGAGTGCCTTGCGAGATGACCCTTCCGATATTGAAAAATTTTCGTTTTCTCCTCAGTAAAATAAAATGATCATTTTCGTTTTAATCTGCTCACTAATTCCAAAAAGAAGAGTCATTTTACCCTACTAATGTTGAAAGGTAAAAATACTGAACTGTAGACAATAGAGATGATGCATGTGCTGTAAAAAAAAAAAAAAGGAAAATTTTCTCGAACGAGAAAATAACTCCAAAAATTTCTACGGATTCACTAGTTCCGAACAAGCATTCTTAGACACTAATGTCCAGAAAAAGTTTCTTCAAACTGAGGAAAACTTTCTCGAACGTGCGTTTACGTACGCGGACATATTTTGCACCTCTTGTAGAAAAGTCGAGACGTTGAAGTTTCAGATAAAGGAAATATCGAAAGTAAAATTGTCAAAATATAAAGTGTAGGCATTAGTGTGGATCTAGATGTTAGAGTCTTCTCTTTACTCACAATTATACCCCAACATGCTCAAACTTTGAATGAGTCGGCATTTTTATCTTTCGATTTGTTTACATTTTGGGCATATTTATCTTTTGACATTTTCATCTATTGACATCTTGCTTTTCGACATTTTTATTCTCGATGTTTCTATCAATCGACATATTAATTTTTTCACATCTTTACCCTCTTTTTTTGACATTTTTCTTTTCAACGAAACTAGAGTTTACCGAAGGTCAATCACATCCAAATGTTGTACCTCCTTTCAATCTTGATGGTCTCTGGACACTTCTGTTCTGATGTTATGTTTTCCTTGAAATTTAGTTATGACGTTACGAAGTAGCACCTTTTTTATTAATTACTCAACATACGAAGAACCATAATGTTATTATATTCAGTAAAACACAAAAAATTCTTTTCAATCACTCCGATTTCAAGTTCATTGAAGTCGAATTTCCGAGTTGTATACAGAGCTCTGCCCATATCTCTCAGTATTTTACGTTAAGACGGATGAATATTGAACAGAAGATGTGAAATCCAACATAATGAATTTCGAAAACTGCATGATATATTCTTTGATAATTTAGATAGAAGTACTTTTAATTTAACAATTACTAGTCAAGATCATTTGTTAAACAAAATAGTTTTATTTTCAGTATAATTTTCATTACATTGATGTTGTGTTTCATATCGAGTACATCTAAAAAAACTTCAAGTAATACTTTTAACTCTCTTTAAATAAACAATGTGGATTTCTAACTGTAACTTTATGAGAAATAAACAGATTTACAAAATAGTATATTAGAAATGTCACACAAAAAAAAATCAAAGATAGATCATGTTATAAATATATATGACTATTTTTCACTTCAGTTGATTACTCGCGACCACTTATAATATTTGGCCCATTTAAAGAAATTCTTAATGATCAATTGATAACTGACCATCCAGACAAATTTACTAATTGTATACCTCGTATGTACTCATACATATATATATATATATGTATTTATTTATTTCGATAATTAATAAACAATTTTTTCTAGATACAACACGACCAAGACGTGACAAAGAAATCGATGGTCGAGAATATCATTTTGTTGCAAATCGTAAACAAATGGAAGATGATATTCAAAATTATTTATTTATTGAAGCTGGAGAATATGGAGGAAATTTATATGGTACAAGTATTAATGCTATTCGTGATGTAGCTTATGCTGTATGTATTTATTTAAAAGAAAAAAATAAAAATAAAAATAATTCATCGATATATTTTATAGTCAAAACATTGTGTTTTGGACGTCAGTGGTCGTGCTATTAAACGTTTAATTAGAGCTGGTCTTTATCCAATTGTTATATATGTTAAACCACGTGATGTCAAATGGATATTGTAAGCAAAAATCTTATGTGCGATATTAATTTGATTAATTTATTTAAGGGATAATATGGGACAAGAAGCAGATGAAAAACGAGCTAAACAAATCTATGACAAATGTAATGAAACTGAAGAACAATTTGGTAATCTTTTTACAGGTAAAGAATTAATATTTAATAATAAATAAGATTTCATAAGAAAAATAAAAATTTGTTATTTTTATTTATTTATTTATTTTTTTGTTATAGCTACTATTGAAGAAGACAATTTAAATGATGCTTATGATCGTATATCTGAGATTATTAATCATGAAAATAGAGTTGATTCGGCTTGGATACCATCAGAAGAAAAAATTTGAAAAAAAGAAAAAATATTTGTATTTTTTTATACGAATTTCTATTCTTAATTTTACAATGTGTTATTAAAAAATATTCTTTCCTTTAGGTCACTAATCAAATTTATTATTTTTTTTTGTTTTGCGTAGACATTGACGATATTCTTCTTACTTTTTTTTGTTTTATTTTTTTTTTTTCTTATCTTGATTTATTTGTCTGCACTTTGTGTGTTTATTCTTACAGTATTTTTTTTTGTCGAACTTGTTTTTGAAAAAACATATAAGAAAATGCAAGAATGTGCTTTTGTTTCTTTTTGTTTATGTGTGTTGAGAGCTAATATCAACGTAAAGAGTAGACTATCTTCTACACTTTTCTTTGTCTTTTGTAAAAATAAAGTTTTCAATGCAGTTTTTATTTGTTGGAAAAATACCATAAGAAAATATAATGCTGAAACATATGTAATGATTTATTTAGTTAAGAAATATATAGATTAGATATGGACTATTTTTGTGGATGTATTAGTTTTTTCTTCAATGATTAGTATGAATGATATTCGAGGATGAATTATTATCGGCATGCCTAGAATCTTCAGATAAAATATTTATGTATGTACGGTGTACTCATATCGATTTGATAACAATTGAAGTTAGAAGCTTTTGATTCGAATGAATATGTAATCAAAATTTGTCTTTGATTGGAAGCTTTATCAGTACAAGCACATGTGATAAGAAATTCAATAATACACGATCTGTCATTTTTGTATGGTCTAATTAAAAAAATCATCGTTTTTTTTAGTAGGTATCATGTTGCGAGTTAAGTTTATATCACAGTTTGGATTTTACTTATTAAGTTTTGAGTAATCAATGACATGATGGATTAATTTTTGGTCTCAAGACTCAGGCGATCAAATGAAAGTTGAATAGTAAGGAAAGAATAAGTAAATGTTTGTTTCAAATTAGAATTTATTCAGTTCAATTGATTAAACTGTTTCTTGATAACAAATACAAAAGATTGACTGATATAATTATGGACAAATATCTTCTGGATATATATATATATATATACATGTGTGAATCTTTCTTTTAATAGGATGTCCTTGATATAACAACTCAACTTAGTTTTATATGTAATTTATCATCATAATGAATAAGAAACTGATCAAGACCAGATGTATAAATATTTAATAACATAGAATAATGAAAAGATTGTTTCTTTGTGAAGAATAAAATTTAAAAAATATTGCATAATGTTTAAGTAATTTAAAAAGACTTGTTTTTTTTTCATTCAACACCACATAAATAGTTATTCATCGGAGAGATGAATATTTGAGAGCGCACTCTAGTGAACTCTGCAAACAATGCTAAGTGTATATTTCTTTCTCTTTTTCTCCTTCTTGAGTCCCTCAATTTCATCAAAAATATATAAATATAAACTCTTCATTCGATTATCAAATCTAAAAAATTGTATTTCATCATATAATACTATGCACTAGGTAGAACATTTATCGACGGAACTTCTTCTATCGAACTATATTTAATTTGTTATTTTTTTTTCTTTGTTACTAATCAAATATATATATACATAAACAATGTGAAAAAACCATATAGAAATTGAAACACTTGACATTGTATCTGCATTTTTATAATGGAATCAAAAGTTATTTTGTTTACATTTTGTTTTTATTCGACAATTCTTATTCATGACTTTTTTCTTGTATGTGAGAATATACAAACACGGCACGCGGTCGTAATAAGCGTAAAACGTCACCCGAGCATAGGCTCGGTTTGACACATAATCGAGAAGGTGTACCAAAATTTAATCGAGAAAATACTGAACAATTTTTTGCTGCAGTTGCAAGAAAAAACTCGACAGTATTATCAACATCATTACCTATTTTTTCAGCTGAACTTGAACAACATGATCAACAAAAACAAAATAATGATGAAGACGAAAAAGACGAGAGTCTATCAACAAAACCAGTAACACCAATTGTAGTATTACCACCTATTCGAACAGCAACTGGTAACAAATCAAAAACTATACCATCTGCTTCTGTTTGCGTTCGTCAACCAACTTTCCATTCGCCTATACCATCTTCTGAACTATCATTACAATCAACATCTCCAATAATAAAATCACCAAGACCAATTCTATTACCAAAACGCCAATTTCAACATGGTGGGCCAGTTGATCAAGATATTTTTCGAAAAGCGTATGAACGAGCATTATCAGTTGCTCGTAGTCGTCTTCTATTTCGTGATCCGTATTCATTAACACGAGCAAGTGCTACACATGGTGTTCTCTATTCATATTATGATCATACACCGATGTGTATATTTTCTCGTGGAACTGCTTGTAATCATCATCAAGATACAACATCTAAACAAGATCGAAAATTAAAAACAAATATATTAAGAAAAAAAATTTTTAATGATGTCATTGTAGAAAATTATATTCGATAAAAACAAAGAAGTCTAATGTCCACGTTAGAATTTAACCGGAGTAGGTAAATACTTAGTAGCTCAACAACAGTAAAAGTTAATGATTTGCAGTTTTTAGTCATCGAAAGAAGAGAACTCCGGGCGTCCTCTTATCTGATACTACATATCACAAAATTATTTTGAACATCCAACATACTCACAAAACATTATATTTTATTTGGAGATATTTCGTTAACAATACTGACCTCATCAAACTAATTTTGGTACAAAACGACATATAAGATAAAATAATAAGTACATTTTTATTCATATCAACATATTCTCCACTATTCTATTAATAGTGGAAAGAACCACATGATGATACTAGACGAAGGTTTCTTCTTTTTTGTACTTTCCCTCGTTCGTTTCAGTATCAATAGAATATAGAAAATGTGTTTATATGCATAGAAATATACATGTTATTTTATCTTATATGTCATTGTATATTGAAAATAGTCTGTGTAAAGTCAAAATCGTTGACGAAATGTCAGTAAATAAAACTTTAAATAATTAGAAGAGAAAAATAATCTATATTATTAAATATCTAAATTAAAATGTCCTTCCTTATAAGTCAAGATTTTCGAGCTATATTTCAAGGCATTATTTAAGTAATTATTTTCTCATATCTCAATACAGAACAAACAAAGCTGCTTATCTATTTGGTCAAATTACATCAAAATTTGTTGATTTTTAGCAAATTTTCGCAGTCTTTTTATCAAAATTTTCTTAAAACAGAATACTTTTTTCAAGCATTCTTTTATTTGAATTTTTCTTGAAGATGATGAGTGTTTAAAATAATTCTATCTTTACTGTATCGGGCAAAAAAGACGTTCGGAATTTTCCTCTTTAATATTTCTGAAGGCCGCAAATTGCCAACTGTTGTCGTTGTCGAGTTATCGAGTTTATATCCACCTCCTTTTTAACCCAATTCTAGTGCGGATAATAATTTATAATCAATTTTTTCTAAGTAAATTAAATATAAATACTTATTATTACTTAACTTTTTTTTTATCTATTATAATGCGCTACTATATGATTACCTTACCACATGTATTTAATATTATCTTGACGAAGTTTTCATTGATGAAACATGTTATAAAGAACAAAGAACAAAATATAGAAGACATAAATTATACACTTTTCAGATCGTGTCTGTTGATTCTTATATTTGTCTTTCATCAAGATTTCTTTTCTTTAATAAGAACAACAAGCAAAGATTTTTTTTTTTTACATCTATACTATTGTTGATTTGACGTTTCCGATTGATTTTCTTCTCTTATTTCTTTACTATAAGAGAAACGACATGTATTTCATCTTCCTTATTAGTCAATCGGGTACATATACAAACAGTGCATAACATTTGGCTATTATCTTCAGTCCGACAAACTCAACTTTTCTTTGTCTAATTGGGTAAGTAGGAGGATAAAAAGGTTATTGAAACAAAAAAGAAGAATAAAGAACAGTCAAACCCCATACAGAGTTAAATGAAGATATATTATGCTAATTTCACGTATATTTATTACTAACATGTATATATATATATATATATTTGGTAATAGAGTTAATAATGATGGTGAAAAGGGAGAATATTATTTTCTATTTTTCTCGATTTTTTTCTCTACTGACTTTATCCAGAAGCTTCTGTTGCCGGTTCTTGTTCTATTAATACTGATGTCTTGCTATCAATCGTCATTTATTGTCGCACACGATACAAGGCATAAATAGAACGTCATCGTCAAAGTGTAGTTTGTCTTTCATCGTTTTAGCTATTGGTATGACAATCATAGACTTAGTGTCGGTTATATTACTATTTGATGAAATAAGAATATAAAAAACAACATAATGCTTTTTTTCTATACAATAATAATCGGTTTTTTTACTTTAATCAAATATGGTAAGATTAAACTTTGTATTGTTATATATATATTTATATAAGAAAATTTTTTTTTTTAATTTATAGGAGTTAATGGAAATGCTGATGCTAAACGTCTTTTAAATGAACTTATGAAAGATTATAATAAATATGTTTTACCTGTAGAATCAATAAATGAAAAAGTTAATTTAACATTAGGTTTGAAATTATCACAATTATCTGATATTGATGAACGAAATCAAATAATGACAACCAATGTTTGGCTAGAACATGTAAAATTTTATATAGAAGAAAAAAAAAACGAAAAATTTTAATACTTTTTTTTTTTTTTTCTATAAATTTTAGGAATGGACTGATTTTAAATTAAGATGGACACCTAGTCAATATGGTGGAATTGATGTTGTTGAAATTCCATCATCAGATATTTGGGTACCAGATGTTGTTTTATATAACAATGCTGATGGAACCTATGAAGTTAATACAATAACTAAAGCTCATGTTGTAAGTATCTATTATGTTTGTTTTAAATAATTTTTATAAATACTAAATGTTTATTCAAGTTTTGGAATGGAACAATTAAATGGAATCCTCCTGTTATATATAAATCTTATTGTGCTATTGATATTGAATATTATCCATTTGATGAACAAAATTGTGTTCTTAAATTTGGTACATGGACACATAATGGAAATTTAGTATGATCTTTACTATGGAGATAAAAAAAAATAGAAAAATGACAAGTTTCTTTTATTTTTTGTTATTTTGTTTATAATAGGTTGATCTTCATCATAAATCAGGACAAGTTGTTGTTGATGTTGGTGTTGATCTTTCTGATTATTATCCATCGATTGAATGGGATATTCTTGCTGCTGTAAGTAATTTTATTATTTTTCATCTATAGTTTGAAAATTAACGATTATATTTATTCTGTCTATTTTAATCTTATGAGATTTTCAAAAAAAAAAAAAAAACTTAATAAAATATATATCAATTTTCAGAAGTTTTTGAAATAAGTTTCGTAAGTTTTCATAAGATTGAAAATATAATTTTTGCTTTTTCACATCACTAAACGAATGTGTTATCTCTAGTTCAGCTTGTCAAGTTAGGCGTATTCGTAATCAGATGCAAACTGGTGATTTGATGTGATATGACACCATAACATAAGAAAGTTAAGCCATATTCGGTTCTTTTTCATTATTATTAATTGTCACGTCTACAATAGGTGATTTACATTGTTACAATAAAATTTAATTTTAGAGATCATGTTTATCTTTTATCCTAAATTATTAGTTTTAATCATTCATCAGAGTAATAGATAACATTAATAGATACTTAGAAAGCACTTAGTGATAAGTAATGATACAGCTGTCATAAAAATAATGACAAATATTGCTTTTCTTATTTTTTTTAGCGTTTACAACTGATTAAAAACTGTTGATTTTGTTTTTTTTTTGGTTAACTAGTTATTTCGATTGAATTTTCTTATCATTTTTAATATATTGATAAATGTATTTGTTAAGATGAATATTTGTATTGAACTTTTCTTTTCTTAAGAGAACCTCTTGAGTGTTTATAATACATTCATTATTAGCGATTGACCTCATCATTAAATTCAATAGGGTATTTATCCATACTAAGGATTCTACATGAGCGATAATTTTTGTTTTGATAGAGCGTTGTGATCTTTCAGAAAATTAAATTGGTTCTTTTCTTTCTGTCTATATATTTAATCCCTTTAGTACTATCATTCGTTTTTTCTTTATCATGAATTGTGACATTGAATTGTCATTAATTATTTAATATACGATTATATTACATTTTGTTCTATAAATATCTAGTGATTGTAAGACTATATTATGTATAAAGAACAGATTATTATTATTTCTTACTATCTTAATGAATTAATAAAAGTATCCATCAACAACTAATTATGTTTATCTCTTGTTATTATGCTTTTTAGCCTGCTGTTCGGCATGTTGTTTTATATGATTGCTGTAAAGATGATCCATATTTAGATGTAACGTTTGCATTACGTATTCGACGTAAGCCACTTTTCTATCTGGTTAATCTTGTTATTCCTTGTATAAATATTGCTTTTCTTACAATTCTTGTTTTTTATTTGCCAAGTAAGAAATAAATAAATAATTATTGAAATAAATACAATGAAATAATCAAAATCTTTTTTTTTCTTTAGGTGATTGTGGTGAAAAATTAACATTATCAATATCAATTTTTGTTGCACTTCAAGTTTTTTATCTTCTTTTAGTTGATCTTATACCACCAACATCATTGAAACTTTCTTTACTTGGTACATATTTACTTTTTACATTAGTACTTGTTAATGCATCTATATTTGTAACTATAATAACATTAAATATTCATTGGCGTCATCCAAATACTCATCATATGCCTGCATGGGTGAAACGATGGTTTTTTGAAATAATTCCACCATTCATATTCATGTCTAAACCACATATTGCTAGTGCTTTATTACGACCAAAACAAAATAATAGTGATAAAGAATCAGCATTATCACAATATGGTGATAATATACATAGATTAAATAATTATTTAAAAACGCTATCCATTGATAGATATCCACCAATAATTCAACAAGCCATAAGAGATATTCGATATATAAGTGAAATACAACGTGAAACAGAACAAGATAACTTGGTTTGTTCGAAAACAAATTATCTATTTTTTTTCTTTGTTTTTTAACTTTTATTTTTATAGGAAAGAGAAGGTTGGCGATTTATTGCACTTGTCATGGATCGGTGTTGTTTAATAGTATTTATTTTTTTAACTATAATTGGTACATGTGTCACATTACTATCTGCTCCGTCCATACATAATAAAGCCGATCCGATTGAACGACAATATTCACACCATTATAATTCACAATCAAGTTAATTCTTCTTTTTCTATTTTGTCTTTTAATCATATTTCAATCATTTATTTTGTTCGATATCATAGATACATATATATAAATATATATAAATAGTCTTTTATATACGAAGTAATTATTTGTTTGTTTTCTTTTTTAGCGCTAATAAAATTAACCGAAGAAACATTTTTCGATCTTTTATTTTTGTGATAAAATTAATGTCTGAAGATAATAATAAAATTCATTTACCAATAAAAATTTTTAATTGTCAAGAAGTTAAAAAACGGATGCATGAAATTCTTCATGATAATTTACATGATAAAGAATATGATTTAAATCAATCTAATTTTTTAGCTAAAAATCTTTCAAATATTATTAAAGATTCACTAAAAACATTTGGTTATGAACGTTATAAATTTATAATACAAATTATTATTTGTCAACAACATAATGAAAATTTACAAATGATTTCTCGATCATATTGGGATTCTGAAACAGATAAATTTGCACAATCAATTTATATGAATCAATTTTTAATATGTATTGCGACAACTTTTGCTGTATTTTATTACTAAATAGAACCATAAAGAAAAACGATGTCAAAGATATGTTGTATTTGATTTGCATGAAAAAATAAAATTTCTCATAGGTAGATGTTAATCAACCTTGATGATATTCAATCTGAAAAAGTAAGTAAATGATTCATAGCGACAACTCAATTACTAATAATATTCGTTCCATTTTGGGAATAGATCAACCAATCAAAAAAGAGTTTGTAATCTTCTACCTACACTATACCAGTAGACAGAACAAAAATAATAATAACAGAAAAAGGACAAAGTCGTTTGATGGATCTTTTGTCGTGTCTGGGACGGCAAGATGGTGGTGGTGATCCACCTGACACTCCTAATATTGATAAGTTACGAACTTTTATTCAGCGTTTTAAACAAGATCCTAATGCGGAAACATCATTTATCAGCCGACCGAGTTCTACTGAACTTTGTGAATGGTCAAAGAAAGTATGTGAATATTTGCCAAGTACAACCGATACAGCTGCTGCCACTGGTGATGATATCCGTCCAATGAAACAACATTTTTCAATAATTAAACAATTTTATGATAGTGTACAACAAGCAGGATTCACACGTATACCACCCATTGTAGAAACATTCTTATCAAGTATACAAATATATGAAGCCGTATCGGGTTTAGCTTGTGTTGTATTTGCTGAACATCCTCATATACTTAAAGTTATTGAAAATCAATTAAATGAAGCAAGAGAAGCAATTGCAGAACATGGCAATATGGGTGTTATTGGTTTATTATGTTGTGGTTCAGGCATGTTACTTGCAAGAGTAAGACAGTATGAATTAGATCTTATTTGTATTTATCGATTCCTTGTTTTTTTTTGTTTCATTAGTTTAATACATTTCTTCGTATAATCGATGAAAAATTAGGTGAACTTGGTGTTGGTCGTATACTTGATTTTCTTGGACAATTACTTGATGTTTTTTGTAAATTCTTTCATATTGATATGGCTAATATAAAAGACTTACAAAATATAGCTGAGACTGTTCGAGCTCTTATCGATCAAGTTGGTCAACAATTAAGTTCACTTTTCGGTCGATTAGCAGTTACAGGTAGCTAAATAATAAAAATCATTTTTCTTTTTCTATGATATAACAATAAAATATGTAGGTGATAAACGATCAAGTGACGAACGATTTGCTCCATTGGAAATGACAACGAAAATTCATCGAAAAATTTCTAAATTTGGTACTAAAGCACCAGTCGTCGAAAAAGCATTATCATCATTCGAACGTTTTTATCAAGCAGCTAATAAACTTGATGATAATTTAATTCAAAAACATGGACGACAGCTTGCTGCTCAAGTAAATTTTCTATTTCGTATTCTATTTGTTTTATTTGTTATTGTATGATAACAGTAACTTTTGTGACGTTTTTAGGCTGATGCTGCAGCAAACTCGGAAGAACCTTCATTAGCAAGTAGTAATGCTGCTGATATTGATTTGACTCGATCGGATGCTATTCAAGTCGCTGCTTCAAATACAGTTAACGAAGTTGGTGTTATTGGAAAAATGATGCAAAATATTGAATTAATATTAACTTATGGTATACTTGCATTAAAAAATGAAGATGATGTTCTACAACCATTATCAGATCATGTTGATGGATGTACACAAATTCTTGAAAAATATTCTCAATTACATCCATTATATAAAATTATATGTGGTGGTAATTATTTAAGTAAGTTACGTGTATTTATCAATAAAATAGTTGATTTATTAAAAAATTCAAAATTAAAATTAAATTCACCAGAAGAATTTTTACAAGAAGTTAAACAACGTTATCCAGAATTATTACGCATGTTAGCTGATGATCTTATTCAAGATACATTTAAAAAACATATTGCTGATAAATTACCCGATGGTGTTGATGATATTTTAGATGGTGCTATGAAAAATATTTTCGGTAAAATAAGCTCCAAATTTTGATGCTGTATACAAGGTGCTTCTTACTAAATAAATCTCAATTTCAAGTTAAATATAAAACAATGAAAATACTTTTTAAATCTTTTCTTTTAATCAATTTTTAATACATGTTCCTTCCCGAGCCAAAAAAAAGTAACGCAAAAAAAACTCGACATTTGTACGCGTTAAAAAAAAACAACAGTTTTTAAAAGAGAACTACGATCGAAAATATTATCTTCCATTAATTGGCTTGTGTTTTATGTGAAGCGTTAGATTTTTTTTAACTCGTTGAAATGTTGGTTTTTGTCTTTGTTTGTTTAACTGACTTTTGATTCTGTATTATTGCTTCAATTTATTGCTTGTGGTGACACGTAACTAGCTTTTATATATAGAATACATCGATGAAATATTCAAAAAAAAATGTAAAGCATGCATATAGAACCTAAAATGGTAACGTATTCTGAAGGGAAAGATTAAATGAATCATTTTTCTGAATAAAAATGAATAGTAAAAAAAGGAAAATATGCAGCACTTTATTTAGCTTAATGGCTGCACTCCTTCGAAGATTGGATTGAGCCTCTAAGAGTTTATGATTATTGTATCACGTACTATGTGTTTGTGCTCAAAAAAAAAAGATGTTCGTCTTTTCGGAAGAGAATATCTGGATAAAACACTAAAAACATAGATAAAATTGAGTTGTGAATGAACAATGTCTTTTCGCTAAGAATGCATTAATTAGTAAAAATACAAACAAGATATTTGAATTCGCTGGCTGGTTAGGTGTGAAAGTCGATGTAAATATTAGTGATTAGTTTATATTCTAAATGTACTTTTTAACTGATTGTAAGTCTTCTTAACAAGAAATAATTTAAGATGAAGTGCATATTTAAAATTGAATGATCAACTTAGTCGATTATCATTATTAATTATTGTAGAAATACTGCTATTCATAAGAAGTAAAGTTTTTCAATATACTGATCAATTAACGCTCAAAGCTCGCTTTGATGCTATTGAATATGAAATATTCTTAGACAGAAATCTAGTAAACAGTATACTTTATTATCTGTGCAATATTCGGATTATATTGAAATGAATTTCATTCGATAGTTCATTAGTTCTACAAAAAAGAATGACAGGTAAGAACTTTGTTTCAGAAGCATTCTAACAAAATTATCTGGACGATTAGGAGAAAAAAACATGTTCACTAGAAGAAAACTCTTGTCAAATGCGATCATTACTTGAATATTTGAGTGAAAGATTGTATAAGATATTTCGACTACAAGAGTCATGATGATCAGAGAAAAAGTCGAACTCGTTAAAAGTATTTAAGTATTTAGGATTTACCGAGAAGAAAAAAGCAGACTTCCAGACTGAAGTCTTTGTTGCTGTTCCTTCAGGATTTACATGGGCTAACAGAATATCCTTGAAATTCACAGTTCAAAAGTGTATAAAAAATATTTAGAGATCTCTAGGAAAGCTGAAATGATTCAAATCCGTGCAAAATATGCCCTTGAAAGTGCTTTGTCAATGTTTCTTTGGATCTATTCTCTTACATTTTTTTTTGATTATTTACATTTTTCTCTTTCTTTCACAAACTTATCAACAGACCTTGGAACAAAAATTTTGTGTGGAATGTTTAGCTGATGCGTTTCTGTCATTCTGCTGTGCGCACGATCTCTATACTATCACTTTTGAGCACCCATCAGAATTCTATGTTAAAAAATATATTCAAAGAAGAGTAAGAACTCTGTAAGTAATTGATCTTGGATTTCTAATGTTATGTAATGATATCTTTGTTAGCCATGAATTTCACCAAAGAAAAAACAAATCATTCTCGAGTCTTTTTTTTATTTGCTGGCGTTGTCTACTCCACTTGATAGATCGATACGAATCTTATCTTTTAAATGGTTACTTTTTGTTAAGACGAATTCATATAAAGAAACAAAAAAAACTCTTAATGTAACGTACTAAACATTTTTTCCTTTTTTTCTTTCCGTACTCTCTTATTACCTATTCTTCGTTGATATTTCTTGTCAGCATTCTTATTTTCTTTCTCCTTCTTCAACATCGTTGTTTTATTACTTTTATTTACCTCCTCGATAGTCTTACCAAAGTGAGCTAATATTCATCATAATTACAGTGGCGAAAAATTGCAAACCGCTTTGTATTAATAATATTGCTTCTGATTTAAATATTTTTATTTCTTTTTCTGTTCTTAATCATCGTGTAAGCATTTCTGATTGTCATATCTACTAATATAATTAAAAAAAAGAAAAATAATCTTTAAAAATGAATTTTTCGTTTTCTTATTTATTGCTTCGCCTATTACATAAAAAAAAATATTTTTCTTTCTGGGATAAACGTAGGTTCAAACATAATAATTTCAATACTGAACAACACACAAGACACGAAAAAAAAAAATAATTTCTTCTTTTAAATTTTACAAATGAAAAAAAATATTTGAAAACATAAATTTTATTAGTAAGATCAAACAAATATTTGTTCGCATAGAATATCTTGTTGAACAATTATTCATTTCACATTTCCATCCAACTTTTAATTGATCTTTCGCGACTAACTCTTCAAGATAATCACGAAGTGGTTGAAAATATTTTAAACATGATTTAGCTGAAAATGTTCTTACACCAGCAAATTCTTCTAATATATCTTCCCATGGTTTTGATGAACCCAATCCAAGTAAAACTCTACATTAATAATGGAAGTAATGTATAGGAGAAAAACACACATAAAACTACTAATACAGAACATACTTGAGTTTTTTTCCAGCTGCAAGTGAACCATGTAAATCACATAGATGTAATGGTCCTTGATGACCAGCTTCCCCACATAAAACATCAAATATTTGAAATTGAAAAACATGTGCAAGAAAATATCTGAATCAAAGAAAAAACAACCATCTCGTATCCTTTTTGTTTATTAAATAATTATTTAATACTTTATGTAAGATAAATCAAAAGCTACATGCAGTTTAGTACCAGCATCAAAATATCTTTCATCACGAACTTTTGCTGGTTTCATACCTTGATATTGACATCTGAAGTAAAAACAAAAATAAAAACAAGAATTTACATCTTGAAAGGTTAGATAAATAAAACAATTCACATAAGGTTCCAATAACGTCGATTATATTCATTTGGTTGAATTGATCCATTATAAACGGACCAACGCCAAAGATCAAGTGCATATGCATAAGGTGGTAAAAAAAGTCTGCTTAACCCTTGTGAAACCAAAAATTTTATATTATCCTCTATGAAAAATAAAAAAAAAAGAAAATAGAAATTTTTTATTTTTACTAATAATAACCTCTCGATGATGTATAATTTTCAAGTAAACCAATTCTTTTTAAATGTGTTGGAGACATTGTTGCTAATGCAATTGCATCCCCGATAGCTTCACTAAATGCACCATGTGGTGATCGACGAAACCAAAATGGTAGAGTTTTATATTGAAGATAATGTTGTATATGACCCATTTCATGATGAACAACATAAAAATCACGTGATGTTATACTTGCACACATACGAATCCTAAATTTTAAAATAATAATCAAGAATAATAAATTAATTTAATTCATGGAAAACATACCTAACATCATCATATTTATACATATCAAATGCTGTTGGATGACAAGCCATATGAAGATTAGGAATCTTTGTAAATATAGATAAATTCCAAAATTTATCTGGTACGCGTGTTAAATTTAATGAAACAAAAAACTCATCAGCATATTGAAAAATCTTTTTTTCGGTGAAATTCTAATTGAATCAAATAAAATAATTTAAAAAGAAAAGAAAAATTTCTTCTTCAAAAAACCTTTCGTTTCATTGCTGGACCCAAGTCAATGCCTTTGATATGTGGAAATGGAAGTATATCATGTTCAAGATAAGTCATCATTGAACCAAATGGATCTTCTACAAAATAAAAATTTTTAATACAGAGACTTATCGTCATTTGATTGATTACTAGTCAAATGTACTGGTATGGGTTCATCAAGTTGAACAAGTCCAGGATAAAGACGAGCCATTTGTTGTCTTACATAAGCATGTATAAGTTCATGTAATGGCTTTAATTCTTGCCATAATTGTTCAACAAGACGACGTTCTTCAGCATTCGTTATTGATTCACTTTTATCGTTCATGTCTTCGAAAAAAAAGAACAAACAAATCTGTAGAATAATGATTTCAACAAAAAGAAAAAAAATGCAAGGATAGTTATGTGATTTTGATTAATTTGTTGAAGAAACAATTTTTTTTAAATGATTTTAGTTGAGATTAATAAAAGATTTAAGATATTTTCAAACATTTTAAACAGAAATGTGAATCTGTGAAAGTACTTAATAATCATCCAACTATCAAGTACGTAAGGAATAAATGCAGCACTTAACCACCAAATCTTGCTAAAAGGTGAGAGAAATATGCTGAATGTGCTGTGGTACTCATACATATTTGACATTAGGCTGAAAATTAAGGTGGGAGTCGTGAGTAAGAGTCATACTATTTCGCTTTGAGTTTTTCGATCAAGACAAGCATATTTTTCGAAAATAAAAATCTTTATAAACTTGACTGAAGGTTACTGAAGCCAATGAATTCGAATCTTTAATCGATTTTTCGAAAATCTTTCGTTCATTTTTTTCCGACCAGTGGAAACCTACTGCAAAAAAATAGCTTAATGTGATGTAATGTGAGGAAGCCGTAGGAAATGGGTTTTCACTAATCGATAAAATCGAACTCCAGCGTTTTGAAAAATGAATGAAAGATTCGGATTGTTCGACTTGAAGTAATGCAACATAAGTCTCAGCTTCATAACACCTTCAATATGAAAAGGTACTGGGAGTTCCAAACCTGCACTTTCTCCCTTACACGTACGCAACTTGCGTGTAGCAGAAAATCGAAAAAGTTACCATCGATCGGTTAATTGTAAGAAAACGACAATTGACTTAAATTTATTCAACCTATTGAAAGATCGTATTTTTATTGCATGCTATCGATTCAGTAATATATAAATGATTTTAACAAAGATACTTTATTGAAATTTAACTAAGGAAAAGCTCTGCAATATACTTCCTTGAATTCTAGTTCTAGTCTCATCTTCATTTACATATGGTGTTCAAAAAGTAACTAAATGAAGAAAATTTATGAGAAGAATTCTCACAAATAGTTTTCAAGTGCGACAATTGATTTCAATCAAGATCGTTAAAATTTTACGAATCGTGAAAAACTAATGTTGTAGTTTTGTCAACAAGTTCTAGTTTTTATGGTTGAAACTTTCAGAATACAGTAAATAAGAAGTCATGAACTTTAGTATGAATACAAGCCCGAGCAATATTAATGTGGATAATCAATCGAAAAAACTAGATGCTGTTTATTCTTGATTAAGGGAATAAATATATTGTTTCTTTACAACTTGTTAAAAGTTATAGTTTTTTGTTAAAGACAGTTGTAAATACTTCAAAATAACTCTTCAAAATGTTTTTCTTATGAATATGAGCTATGAGCACTATTTCACTAGTAGTAAAAATGCGAACTCATACGGTCAAAATACGGTGACAATATGCAAACTTTTCTCTGTTTAGTTACTTTCTGGACAGTCTTTATTTTCAAGGTTAGTTCTGTTTTCAGCTTTGGAAAATACGTCGAATCAACTTATTTATTTCTGGCTATGATATAATCTTATTAATCGGGTTAATATAGAAATAAGCTTAGAAAAATTACATTATTCCGGTCTATGTTTTCGGTTAATTTACTTATATTCTGAAGTTTCTAGTTTTTCTCATTCACCGCCATATGCATCGTTTATTTATGTAAGTCTTTTAACATTTTGTAGTTTATTTAAGCAGTATTTTTTTCATTAAGCAATAACAAACCATAATAGGATTCAATAGACTAAAAGCAATTGGAAATAATATCAGAGATGAAGTAGAAAGTATCAAAAGAATGGATGATCTAAACGTAGTAAAGTACCAAAAGTATAATATTGATTGAAGACACCAAAATATTAAGTTAAATTAGAAAACTTAATATTCCTTTTGAATATCTCAATCTAGTATGCATTTCAATCTCAACTTTGACTTTTTTATGCCTTAAAACAAACTCAAATCTGTAGCCATGACCTTTCTTATCATGAATCTCTTCGATTTCTTATCGCTAGAATATATTCAAGTTTGACTTATTTAAAGTCAGTTTTTAAAAAGAATAGATGAAACGTTATAAACGAAAGATTCATTTCCGTTTTCTGTTATTCTTACGAGTCGAGATTTTAAGTATGTTCAACAGATTCTTCCATCAATCTCGATTTTTTTACCGCAGTAGTAATCTTGTTCTATAAAAGTCAAAACCGTTTCTGACATAGGCCTTCGATATGATTGCGCTAACTCAGGAATGAACGTCTGACCGACTCTTTTCTCTCGTTATGTAGCATCTAAAACTTACTAGATCAATCTCTTATGTGGTATTCTTAGAACATTTCTCAGCCAACGTAGCTGTGATTTCTCAAGATGAAGGAGCAATACTTCAGTCTCAAGAGACTCTTGGATAATTGAGTTGAAAATTCTATCCCGAAATGTGAAACTCAGCGCTTTTCTCAAGAATTGCATCTCGACCGCTTGTGTTTGCAATCGAACGCTTTCGACCATAAACGAGTGTTCGTGATCATAAATGGGAGTAAGACGGCAGACTGTCTTGAAAATCACTATCTTCATCGAAAGGAAGCAAAATCTCCATTAAATGCCACCTAAATAACTAATTACCAACACATAATAATGAATGCTTGTAGTAAAAAAAATACTTGAAAATATCTTAATAACTTTTCATTGACTGTGAAACGAGAATTTTTTTTTGTGAATAATAACTTATAGAAATAAGTTGAAGGATTATATGTGAGAATGGGTTACTGCTGAGGTACGATTCTGTTTGGCCTGTTGATTTTGTAAAGCAATCAATACTGAATAGTCATCACGCATTGGTGCAGCTACGTCATAAGTTGCATTCCATAATGAAAGAAGATCATTTGGTGAATTAAGTGTACCAAGTATTTCTTGTACCTCTAAAATTCCATTTGAATTCATATTACTTCTTTTTTGAATTCTCAAAAAAAATACAAACCATCAATGCCTATTTTTGTATTATTCCACGTAAATTTCCTATGATAAATATCTTTAATACGAGTTTTTAACTTTTGTATATCAGATTTAATCGTTGTATCATTCTGTGCAGCATCACCAATAGCTTGTGTACGTATTAATAACCAACGTAATGATGAATTTTGATGCATTAAATTTTTAAATTGTCTACCAACTACTGCAATTGTTTTTAAACAATCACGATAAGTTTCGTAACATTTATCCTAGATAAAAAGAAAAAATCTTTCCTTCTATTCGATAATTATTCATTGAGAATTTTACCGTTTTACGTTTTTTACTTGTATCATTTAAATATAGATGAGTTTCAAATTCCGCGGATGATGTTATATAAGCAAGAGTTGTTAAATTTTTATCATATTCATTTAAAATCTCTTTAGCCTATAAATTTCATAGATATATACATATATATATACATAATGACAATAAAATTGGAAATAAAATTCGAACGGTTTTTCTTTATATTTCTAATTTTACATGCTATGTTGATTATTTAGAAAACAGTATTAAGAATAGTTTATTCAAATTTTGAAATATAACGACCTTAGAAAAAAATTAAAAACTAAAAAGAACTTCAAGTAGAAGTAATTTCTCTAAAGCTTAAAGGTAGAGCGTAATTAGCATATTATATCATACACAAGAACATTCTAAAAATATCTCTTTCAATCCGTGAGAAAAAGATGTCAAATTCGAATGTGTGATGATGTATTCGGAGAAGAATTTCTAACAGATAGAAACGTTCGTAAGCGAGTCTGACTTCTTCGCTAGGAGATTCAACACTATTAATAATTGCGTTATAAAAGAGACGTTTGTTTTTTTTTCTCTTAGGTCAAATTCATTGACTATTAGTCTAAAAAAGGCGTTCAACATGAATCTTAAATTTGAGAAGATATGGTATTAAGTACCAAAACAAAAAAGAAACTGAAACTTGTAAGTAACCAAAAATACAGAAAAAGCCGTTCGATATTTTTTTTCTATTGTATATAAAATAAAAAGTTTATTTACAAGTTGTTCTTGTTCACGAATATTCATTATATCTAATTTATATTGACTTAGATCTATATGGTTACATTCAACAATTTCATCTAATGGTTGACAATCAATTGTGATTATAGTAAAGAATAAAATAATAAAATAATACATCATTATTATCTATGAAATCAATTGTATATGTTCAAATTGAAATGTGTGATGAAATAACACTTACATGTAGCTGACAGATGTTTTCTAGCTATATGTCTATTTTTGTTATTTTGTGAATGAGATTGTATTCTTTATAACGATGTGTAAATGACAAACGATCGACAGACATCTATATATAATATAGAGAGAAAAAAGTTTCCGATAAGATTGATTGCCTAAAGCACCATGGATGTGTTTATTCGTATAATGGATGTAATCGTTAGTCGTGCAATTAAAATGACTGTATGCTGTGCAATATATATCCTAACAAGTTGGATAACGATGTTCGTCTGTTAGTTGCTTTCTTACAAAAAAAAAAAGAACAAATAGAAGACCAACAAATTATTATTCAATATATTGCTTTCTAACATCTATTTTATCTGTATTTTTTCAGGGACAACTTATTCATTTATGTCATAGGCATGTTTATTTAGCAATTATTATAAATATAATCTTGCCATGTGGTAATACCCTTTTTTTGATATATATTTTATTAATTTGCTTTTTTTTAATTTATAATCATTAACAATAGATGAATCATTTATTCTCTTTTGGCTTTCATGTTGCATGTTTAGAGATCCCAATACACCCTACACCTTTATCATCAACAACAAAGTACATAAATATGAAGAAAAAGATAGAAACAGTAAAATCGGGGGAAAAAAAGAAACCATAACAACTGCACTGCAGTGCATATTTCATGTACAAAGATAATAATAGAAAGATATTTGGACTGACTAGCAGCAACCACGCTTTTTCTTCTTTGATGATATATCGACTACATTTTCACCTTTACGTTGTTTATCATCTTTTTCTTGCATTAACCTATAATTAAGTATCATATAGAGAATTTAGTACATCATCAAAACAACTCACCGAGCTATTCCTTCCATGATCTCAACAATTGATGTGCCTAATCGTGCACTACTTTCAAAAAATAAACATCCATATTCCTATAAAAAAAAGGAATTAAATAACATCACAAAAAAAATATTATTTACATCAGCTAGTTTTGCTCCGTCTTTATATTTCACCGGTCGTTTTTCATCATCATCACATAAGTCAGTTTTATTGCCAACAAGTGCTACAACACAATCATCTTCAGCTGATTCCTTTAAAGATAGTCATAAGAAGACTTGTTATATTTTGTAAAAAAAAACATACTCGAACACTTGTCATCCATCCTCGAACATTGCGAAATGTTACTTCAGATGTTACATCATAAACCAAAATAACACCATCAGCTTTACGAAAATATTGTTTTGTTATACTTCGAAATCTATTATTAAATAAATCTAGATCAAATAATTACGTTTTTAAAAATCAAATCAACCTTTCTTGACCAGCCTACAAAAATAATAATTAAAAAAGAATTAAAATAAAGTCAAATTATTATTTTTTTCTTACAGTATCCCATAATTGTAATGCGATAATACGACTATCAATATTAATCATTTTAACTTGAAGATCAACACCAATTGTTGCTGAAAATGTATCTTTAAAATTATCAGTACAAAATCGTTGAATAAAACTTGTTTTTCCAACACCACTATCGCCTAAAAATAACGCTAAAATTATTTCAAAATCGATTCTTTTTTTTTTTCTTATTATACAAACCGATAAATGCTATTTTAAACATTCGATCAGGTACCGCATTAGGTGCTACATTCTAAAAGAAATAATTCGAAAATAAGAAAAACACAATAGTATCAATTATATTTACCATTAATTCTGAATGTTGAAAAACTGAATTAGCACCAACTGGTTGTTCACGTGCACCCAATTCTTTTGTTCTAAAAATTAAATGTTTGAAATAATTTTTTTGTACTTTGAAATAAAAATTGAAATTAAAAAAAAATAAATATAAAAGAATGGATCGCGCCTCATACAGACGAATTAAATCTCGATTTGATATATAATTAATTTTATAACGATGTTTTCTAAAATTGGATATAAGTAATTTATCAAGTTTATCATTCATATCTTCCGATTCGCTACTACCAGAACGTAATTGACGATATCTAAAATACACAAAAAAAAAGAAAAAAATTAAATTTTTATTCTTTAGTTTTTGTCTTGTTTTTTTTAAACAAAATTTTGCTCATTCAACTAACTGACCTTCGGGAACATCGTCGATATTGATAATAATTTTTTGTTTTATTGCGTTCTGATTCAGTATCACTACTAGTTGATGTTTCATTTTCACGTCGTTTTAAATATCTAAATGAATGTAAACGAACGAACAGGGCGAAAAAGTGCCCGTTATATCATCAGAGAATGAGTCAACTAATTAGGGCAATGAAAGGATTCGAATTTTAAAATAAAAGAAAATGAAGTAATACCTGGAACGACGTTTTTTATTTCGTGTTGATTCAATGCCATTTTCACTTTCACCATCATTCGTAGAAGCCATTAGATCATCATCTTCTTCTGGTTCACTACTTCGTCTATTAATAAAAATAAATATATATTATATTCAAAAAAGAAATAATTGAAATATAAGATACCTGTGCGGTGAACTAAAATAATCTGATAGAATAGAACCTTGTTTTCGCATTGGTTTTCTCGACGAATGAGTTGGAGATGGAGTATGGTCTTGTTGCTAAAATATTCATATGAATTTTGAAAAATTTTTCCATTTTCTATCACTTAATTTTGGGAAGGCAGTTAGAAAATGATCTTTGCAAATCTATGTACAAAACTTTTTTTGTATTATGACCAGAGAACCTTCCCAACTTGACAACCGTTTTCGAGTCCGAATTCTATGCATCAGGTAGATCCTATTTTAGTATTAAAAATTGCAACAATATCATTACCCTTATACATTCCGTACAAAGTTATCACTATTTTACTGAAATCTTAGCTTATAATATGGTATGTACAAAAGGATCAAATGATAACATTTTGCTCATAGATAAATCTATTTGTAGCTGGAATGTGTTGAAATATTTCAGCTTAGAAGAATGGTTTATTCAGGAGATATTGAATTCCTTTTTCTAGTCTTTCGTGGAGAATGAGCCATGTGTTAGAAATTCAGTATCTCGTAAAGAAACCATTCAAGTTATAAGTAGGCCTATGTATGAGCGAAATATTGTCATTCGATTCTTTCGTACGTGCCATGCTGTAAACTAAAATTTCATTAAAATATCTATAACTTTGTAGAGACTGCCTGCAGGTTCTGATCCTTTTGGAGCTTCTAATACTACATTTTAGTCTATCTTATGCTAGAGTAAGAATACATAGTCGGTTACATTGAAACAGACGTGCTTTAAAAAGAATGATTCAGAAAAAACGGTAATATTATATCCCGAAAATAGCTCATGGTGTAATCTTATCGATCATTAGCTTTTCAAAAGATAAGTTATTGAAGATAATAATTCATAAATAATTATGTTTCTGTTAAGTGTAGATTTATGGCAGCTCACAATCTTATAAATCGATTCTTTTTGAGGACTGAAAGTACCCAATTTTTTTCATGTAAATTAGGTCTAATGATAATATTGATGTAGTAATTCTATTTAGTAATTGTTCCAATAGTTTTAAAAAAAGAATAGGTCACTATATTCAATTCTCAAAATAAAACATGCTCAGAAAATTTGGAACAGTTACACATCTAGAACTGATTCGTTTGAACAGTTTAGCTCTTTTGAAAAGAACTGGATGAATAATATCAGTTCAGTTCCTCGATCGCAAACTGTCACAGACTTAGTTGAGTTCAAAGAAATTTTCAACTTAAAAGAATGAGCTTTTAGTACATATTAACAATAGAATAAATGGCAAGATCTATCATAAAATTTTAAGAAATAAAATCTGACAATTGTTAATTTAAAGAACTATTCTCATAGTTATAAACAGTATATAAAAATGAATTTTCAATTCTTAAGTTAAACATTGAACATAATCAATAGACAATTTGTCTTTAGAATAAAATTTTTATAATAAATAACTTACGTTAGAACCTTGATTAAGATCACGTTCATCAACCAATCGTTTATTAATAGATCTAAGAAAATTTCATCATATATTTATAAATTTAACAAAACTCATTTTATTTTTCTTACTTAAGTGAATCAAGCTGTTTAACAAGATTTTCACGCTCAATAGCAATATTTTCTGTCAAATTCAAAGCTTGTCTAAATAAAAAAAAAAGTCAATAATATTAGGACGATTATTTCTGCTTAACAAATACTTTGCTCGATCTCGTTTTTCTTTTTTTGTTTGGTTTTGTAATTGAGATATATAATTTTTCGACTCTTCTAGACTCTTTGTTAATTCTTGTAATTGTTCTTCCAGTTGAACTTTTTCCTTAAAAAAAAAAAAAGGAAAATTATTAATTTATAAATTATACAATATAATCTAAAAATGCTTCTCCCCCCCGTCTCATCCTTTTGTGACTAAAACTCTATATTTTTTTTGTAACCATTGTATCATCTGAAATAGTATTTATCTATTGAGTATATTTTGAGACTCAAAAATTGTCTTTGAACGTTAAAACATTCGAAAAGAAATCACACTGTGCATTGTTTCGCGTTTTTCTCACACCGAATTTTTCATGAAAAAAACAGTGCAGAAATGCTTTCGTTTCTCCGACCTAGTACGTCCAATGGAGCTGAAACTTTGTTCACATATACTATACACTGCTTGAGATGGATATTTTTTTATTTCAAAAAATATTGTTCTGTTAATTTTTGGTAGCTTTTACAAAACAAGTTCCATTCAAAAAGAAACATACATTTTTTTAGAGTAGCTTCGATATTTTGGCTTTTTTTCTTCGAAGGACAAAAAATAACGAGATATCCACTTCAAAACATGTCTAGTACATCAAAAAAAAACTAACTTTCAGTTCGATCGAATATAGCATCTGGGAGAAACAGGATTATTATGATTACAGTATCTCATAAAAGACAGCATCCGAAAAGTTTGAGTCGATGGTAACTTCTGTTTTCTATTCGCCAAGAATTATC